GCGGGAAGCGCGACTTAGGTGGTTTGGTCATGTGAGGAGGAGGAGCACAGACGCCCCGGTGAGTAGGTGTGAGAGGTTGACGTTGGAGGGCCTACAGAGAGGTAAAGGTAGGCCAAAGAAGAGGTGGGGAGATGCTATTAGGCAAGACATGGCACAACTTCAGCTGACCGAAGACATGACCCTTGATAGGAAAGTATGGAGGTCGATGATTAGGGTAGTAGAGTAGGTAGTCTAGAGTATTTATAATACTAGTATTGGCACACAGTCTCGCTTTCTGTTGGTAGTAAGTTTTTATGACTAACCGTTATTTCTTTCATTGTTGATCACCTTACTATCTGGTTGTTTTTATTCTGCTTTTATATGCCTTCTTGGTACTGCCCCTTCTTATCTATATTTTCATTAATGTGGTGCTTATACTTTCTTAAGCTGAGGGTCTATTGGAAATAACCTCTCTATCCTCACAAGGTAGGGGTAAAGTCTGCGTACACACTACCCTCTCCAGACCCCACGGTGTGGGATATTACTGGATATGTTGTTGTTGTTGTAGTTGGCAAAGAGGTTCAAATTTGTCTATGTAGTATTCAAAATTGCTCAATTTTGTCATCAGATAACAAAGTTAATTTCGCCCTAGAACCCTCCGCAGCCCCCTCTCCCCTCTCCCCCCTCCTCCCCATCTTACTATACACAATTTCTAGCTTACTTGCCCTTCTTACCTTCCTTCCCCACCCTATTTAGAAAAAAATGTGCTCCGCTTGCTTGAAGTTGGTTCTTCCTCGCCTTTGAGAAGCAGGTTGTCTTTCGTCGTACTTATATATACTAAAAGTTCGGTTAGAGCTAGCAGCTGACCCTATTTACAATTTTTGTGAGGTTGACCTTTCCTGCAATAGAAAGATGACCTTCCTATTGAAAGCGAAAAGCCGCAAGCGCCTACGTAAATTGCTTTTTTAATTCTGACCTTGTCCATCCTAAACCTAAAAATAATGAGAATGCCTTAATCAGATTAAACATCTAGCTCCAAAATGGAAAGGAAAGTCAAAAGATTCAAAATTTACTACTCTATCAAACATTAAAGAAAATATGGCAAAATGTATTTATTGAATAACATCTAGCTTTAATAAGTATTAACAAACAATGGCCTGTAAACTAGGATAGGACTTTTAACATTAGGTTTCTTGCCACTCCAAACTAAAGAACCAGAAAGGAACCAAGATCTTTCTCTAATGAATTTCCCCTTCAATATAACTCTAAAAGACTTCTTCTCATTCACTTGACTGAATGACAAAATCTTTGGCACAACTGTTATAGAAAGTCCCTTTGGCGCCCTGATTTTCGCCTTGTACACAGCTTTGCCTCGGCCAACATAAGTTACAGTTCTATAATATACTGCAGAAATATCACTTGAATTTGCATGGTTAAGTTGTAGGTGCATTGAAGGATAGTTCAGACCATCTGTTCCTTTCGCTTTCGGAACGCTTGAGCAGTTGTACTTTTTGCTTCCAGTGAGTAAGGCAATGTTTGTGCTGTTATACCCTTCTTTACAAAAATAACTTATGTATGAGTCAAAATCAAGGTCATAGATTAAACCAGGGTTAATTGCCTTTCTGGGATTTATTTGCCCTGCACCTGAGGCTAATTCAGCTCCCACTGGCCTAATCTTCATAGATTTAGCTGAAATAAAACCAGAACATTTGTCAACTTGAAAGCGTTTAACTTCTATATATCAACAGTATAAACAACTTTTTCCACTATCAGGTCGCTTAAAAGATAAGTGTAAAGGAAATTGTCTATAAGAAGTGTGATAAGTAACATGAAAGATAAGAAAGGTTACCTACTACAACAGGTTAAAATATGTTCGGAATTGTACCTGTAGTCATAAGAGCGGACTTGATAGCAGCAGGAGACCAGTCGGGATGGAAGGATTTAACATAGGCTGTGGCTGCTGCAGCATGGGGGCAAGCCATCGACGTGCCTGATTCTACGTTATATTTCACGACGCGGTTGTCTTCATTATTTCCAGTGAGAGTAGTCAATCCTGAATATGCAGCCAAGATGCTCAATCCTGGTGCAGCAATATCAGGCTGCAATAAAAGTACTTCAGGTGAGACAGGAGAGACGTAGTGGCATACACAGGATTTTGCACAAGCAGAGTCGGCCTATTCTTACAATTTTGCTTTATAAGTGGATTTGAGCATGGTAGTTGTTAAGCTTTCTTTCCCAAATTGATATTTACTTTGTATTATTGTGTCAGACTATTGTAAATATAAATACTGTTTTTCATATAATATTTTTCTCCCTACATAAATATTTTTACGAAGCAGTGTCAGATGCCTTGAGGAGATGAAGACACTGAATTTATTTTTCACCTTGAGAATGTTGAGACTGATTGGTTGGGGTCCTCGAGATGAGAAAGAAGCCACAAATGGTGCAGTGATGTTCACAGTTCTTGATTTGTATATCACAGCTTGTGGTGATCTGAAAATGCATAAAAAATAATTAGAGAAAACATAGCAACTCAATTATAACTCGGGGCAGGAGTAACCCGGTGCACTAAGCTCTCGCTTTGCGCGGGGTCTGGAGAAGAGCCGGACCACAAGGGTCTATTGTACGCAGCCTTACCCTACATTTCTATAAGAGGCTGTTTTCACGGCTCGAACCCATGACCTCCTGGTCACATGACAATAACTTATGTAAAATTAATTAATCAAAAACGTACTTTGCAGAATATATGTACTTCTCAATTTGTGAAGCATCTTTAGGATTGATAGATGTTGCTGATATAACAGTGGAAAATGCAGTATCTGTCATCCTATCAGCTAATATAATGGCACCAGCTCCTTTCAAGTCTTTGATGGTGTAATCTTGTCCACTACTTCCAAGGCAATATACTATCTTCCCTTTCACTTTGCTCTCCTCCAAAGTTCCAATATCACAAGAACTGCAACAATAAATTAATGAAATAAACGTAAAACGTGATGCAGTTTGATTCGACACGTAGTTAAGAAAGAAATAAGGTACGATATTTGATAATTTTGGTCTTTAACATGCCATAACATTTGCGTGGTTAATTATCAGACTTTTGAAATTTAAGGTCTTAAACATGTGATAAACATTTATGTGGCTATAAAAGCTTCTCGTTAATGGTAAAATATGACGTTATGTGTTATTCTTCCTGTGACAGACTAATAATAAAATAGTGTCACATAAATTGAAACGGAAGGAGTATTGAATCTTGTTGTCATAACATGTACATACCTTGAATTTCCATGATCAGATGCATTCTTTGCTTCAGCAAGAGATCCCGAGGTTAAGGGAAACCATTTTTTCGTCGGTTCAAATGTGTTGATTGAAAGTCCCTATTAAAAAAATTGCAGTAAGTATATAGAACTTGTAACAACACTTCTTCTTTTAATTATGTAATGATCAAAAAGTATGGTGGGACGGTTTGTGGGATCCCTCCATCCTCAACTACAGGTCTTGAGTTCGAGTTTTGGGGCCAGAAAACTTCTCGATAGGAAGTGTTTTACCCCCTAATTGGACCTACTCGGCATGAATCCGAATTAGCTGTACCAATACGTTTCACATATCGGATGATTAAAAAAAAGTTGACACTAATGATCAATAAAGTGGATTGGTTTAGATCCCGGCGGAGGCAAAAATACTAGTTGATTTCTTTCAATTTGTCCAATCCTTGGCGGACAAAGTTACTTGATATCTGTTACTGGTGGGAGGTAGCAGGTATCCCATGAAATTATTCGAGGCGCACACACGCTAGCGCGGACACAACAGTTTAAAAAAAAAAGGTTTTAAGTGAAGTAAAGGAATTTAGGAACTCACAGAAATTTGGACTCCATTACCCAACATAGCATCAGTTTCAAACTGTCTATCAATGCTACTAGCAGCCACAGTAAAAATCCAAGGTGCAACATTTTCTATGGTTTGCAGAGTAGGACCATCATTTCCACCAGCACAAGATGTTAATATCCCTTTCTTTAGCGCATGGAATGCTCCAATAGCTATTGTATCGTCGAAGAAATCGCGCGCGGCTCCTCCAACGGACAAGGAAATAACGTCGACGCCATCAGCAATTGCTGCATCAAATGCTGCTAAGATGTCACTGTCTGTGCAGCCAATTTCCCAACATGCTTTATAAGTAGCAATGCGCGCGGACGGGACTCCTCCGCGCGCTGTGCCTTTGGCTAAACCGTATAAGCTGGCGCCAGGGACGGATATTCCAGCAACTGTGGAAGCTGTGTGGGTGCCATGGCCATCGAAATCGGCTGGTGTCATTCGATCAGTTGGCGCTATGTTTTCAAGATTGAAGTATTGTGCTCCGATCACTTTGCTGTTCATTTGTGAAAAATATGGATTTAGTTATATACATAGATCATGTAATTTTTTTTTTTTTTTTTTTTACATTAAAAAGACCAATCTTTCCACAAGAGGCTGTTTTCACGGCTTAAACCGTGACGTCCTTGTCACATGGCAACAACTTTACCAGTTATGCCAAATTTCCTATTCTTTTTATATTACCGGTGAAATTTAACCTTTTTGGCAGATTGTTAATCTACTTTTTAAATTACTATATCATACTTGCTAGGTAGAGTTACTTGTTATTGTAAGTAAACTTACTTGTTGCATTTAGTGAAGTTGACGCCCTTGTCACATTTGCCTTTCCATTTGGAAGGTGGAGGCCCAAAGCCTTCATCATTGAAACTTGGTGATTCAATCCATATTCCTAAATGCATATAATTTCCAAAAAGGTAAGTATAAATAGTGTTGTACACATGATTTTTCATACATATTGAAATAAATAAAAAAATAAATGTTATAATGATAATTTTGAACAAAATTGTGTCACATGTCACCGTCTCAGACAAGTTGTACCCTGCATGTGCACAAGCCTATAATATGTAATCGGGGGAGAAGTTATAGTGTCAAATGTCAACTACGGGTTCGACCAAATCTAGTAGCTTCGGTTCAACTCTATATTTGTCACTAAAAATCTGTTGAATATGTATAAATTATTAATTTAGAATGAAGTAACTTAAAAAGATTAGAATCCCGAACTTTTAAATTTCAAATTCTGGCTCCCCCTTATTTGTATGTTAAGTAATTGTTTGCGCTACAAACAAACATTGTAATGTTTCTAAAATACTTACCTGTATCAATAACACCTACAATAATATCACTTTCAACTTGTGGTATTCTTTTAACATTCTTAGGCATGCCAAGAAAATCCCATGATCTTGTTGTACGAAGTTGTCGAATTGTGTTTGGAAACACTGAAATAACGTCTTCTCTACCTGCAAAAATTGCATATTCAAATTAAATAATAAAAATTGATCAAAATGAAATATGAATTTTAGACATTAAATTCACTTAATATATTCTATTATTTCATACGAGATAGAACGTCTGCTTCTCCCGGCAATAATCTTGCCACGAATGCATTAAAACTTCTTCCATAACTGTGTAGTACCCTTGATTCTCTTGCTAGTCCTCTACTGAAAATTCAAAAATCGTCAAAAAAAATATATTTAGTAACTCTTTAATTTCATCTCAACTTCTTGAATAACAAATTCATTTTTTCCATTTCTAGTAACTAATTTCAAGCTAAAAAAAATTATCATACTAAAACGGCACAACAACAACAATAATAATGTGCAAAGATCTCTTTTAGCCTGCGATCGAAACTATTTACATCTCGTAACCGCAAAAATATATAAAATTTATATATATTTTTGCATATATAACATACATAAAATATATATATATATACAAAATATACAAAAATATATATTTTTTGCTATTATTTTGAGAACGGCTATGCAATGTCATTTTTACAATAATAATAATAATAGTAAAATTGCAAAAAGCAAATATGTGAAAAAGATATTTACTCTCCAAATGCTTGTTTGAGAAGGTTATGGTGATTGTCAAGCAAGAAGCTGGTGTCCTTTGGAAGTTCTCCCATATACACAATATATGACTGTTACACATAATAATAATAAAATCACTAAAAAATGAGATTTTAACTTACAATATGGCAAAAAGAAAGAAAAAAAAGCAACAACACCAATGCAAGAATTAAAAAAAAAATACCTTTCTTTCATTTTCATTATTTGCTTTAACTATAAGACACAAATTGAAGATGAAAATCAAAATACTTTTCCACATTTTCATTCTCTTCTTCTAATTGTTAACAAGTAATAAACTAAAGTTGACACTTTAGATTTTAACAGAGTTGAAAGTGTAGTGAAGACTTAGATTTATATGGCTTTGAATGTGGAACAGCTTAGTGACTCATATTAATTTGTTAACGAATAATTTGGACCTCTTTGAACAAATCTTTCGGATACTGTTTATTGGTTAATATTTTGCTTAATTTAAAAAAAATTAGCTCTAATTATAGTTGTGTATATTTTATATGTAAAATGTCGGAATTATGAGCTGTGATAGAAGATATTGTAGAGAGATTATAGAGAATTCTTTATGTTTGTTTCCACTAATTGTGGACTTCAATTAATTGATCGCCTAAAATTTATCTAAAGTAGTTAATACCTTCCAAAGATAAACAGTATTTTTTTATTAAGTAATTCTCAATATTTGAACTTAGATTTAAATATATTTTTTTGCCTTACATTGTTTAAGCCAAAGTATCAAGAATATTCTGTAAAATTGGATCCGATTTCTACGTAATTTCTAATATTTTTAGCAGTATGTTACAATGGAAACCTCACAAACATAAATGGGAATTTATACTAAAATGAAGTTCTAAATATTTACTTGAGCTGGCATCGTAGCAAATACCAAAATGGTATTAAGATCTGGTCTTTGATTTTCTAATTTTCAAAAAATTATTTTTCTCCTCTCCAAAGTGCACTCTAAGAAAATAAAATGAACTAAATGCTGTAGTTTTACTCATTAACTAGTACTAGTATTAAAACCCGTGCGATGCGCGGATAACATTAGAAAAATATTAATTATGTCCAACGATGGTTTGACTTTGTTTAGCATATTAGATCATATTCCTTTAACAAAATTGAGAATTTTGTATCTTAATGCAGTGTGCCCAAAAACAAAATAATGAAATTAAAGAAAACTAATTACATGGTCATTAATTAAATTTTGTATTTCTTATTTGAATTTATTATATTTTCGGATATTTCGTATTATTACATTGATATAAAAGTTTCTATTAATGGCTTAATATCCTTGTCCATTACCATTTTATATATCATTGATATATATTTTTCCTTTCTCCTAATTCTTTGATTTTTAAACTTTTATTATATTGTTAATAGTTTTTTAAATATTTAAATAATAATTTTGTATTTCATTACTTTATTTTATTTTTAAAATTAATATCCTTGCATTTTCTCTATCCCCGGTTTTGTATTTTTGTTATACTATGATATATTGATTTTCCTTAGTTACTTTTTATCTAATGTTTTAATAATTTTTTATTTTGTATTACGTCTATTAACGAAATATTGTATCTTCTATTTTATTTTAATTATTAAAAAATTTCTATATGAGAAATTTCATTATATATCTAAAATTTTACTATGTTGCTCAGAAAATTTATTATTCAATATTTTTATTTTTGACTTTACTTATTGAGATTCGAGTTATGTAATAT